CAGGACAAGATCTTCTTCATTGGACTAAGCCACGTCCAACACCAAAAGTCGAGCTAAACGACTTAAAACAAAAGCGCTTAATGGGAGACAACCCATTTAGGTATTGTTTTCCTTAGAATTTTTCTTTCTTTTTCCATTTATCTTTATCTTTTTCTTAGTTTCAAGTGTTTCTTATAAAATAAAAAAGCCAAAAAAATCAAAAAACCGAAAAGACCAAAAAAAAGAAGGATGGTCCCTGACTGCTCGGCCCAGCAGGAACCAAAGAGAAGCATGAACAGGCCGCGATATAAGCCCCCGCGGTCGCAGGTGATCTGACCGCGGGAAACAGCCCTTCGACCGCGGCCGCGTCTTTCTGACCGCGGCCGAGCACCACTTCACCGCGGTCGCGTGGCTCCTGACTGCGGCAAATGATCGTTGAGACGAAACCCGACCACAAATCACCCACTTCACCTCATTCCACCTCACCAATCCCCATTCCACCACCTTCATCACCACCTATTGATAGTAAGAATTTTTCAATCCTTGATCAATTCCTCAACTACTCATGTCATTGTAGCACTTGAGGTATCAATCCAAATGGAGAGATTCTAGACACTAAGACTATGAGGATCAATTCTTAATCCAAGTCTAATAAGCAGATGAGTTGGTAACCAAGATTATCTAAAAGCATATAACAAAACAAGCAAGAACAAACAGTAATTAAGAATTAAACAAGCTAGAGAAACTAAACAAACACTCAAATTCAAATAAAGAGAAAGCTAAACCTCTAGATGTGATCATTGATCAGGGTGCTTTAAATGTGAATTCATGATGCTAAGAACATAATGCAACACTTGCTACTCTTTAGTCTAGGCTTCTTAATCAGATTAATTCATTCCCATGACAATAATCCCTTTGCTAATCACTTAATCAAGTCTAACAACCATTAGATATAATCAAGCAATCAACAAGCATAATGCATCAAGCCTAATAAGTGACCAAACAATCTCTCAACCAAGAAGACTGAATCTTATACAGAAAGACATAACAAGCAATCACATGATCTCAAACATTTCAACTTAGAACTCTAATCTAGACTAATCCTCTCATGAAGGCATTAATCTCTACACTAATCCACTTTCAAACCAAATCATCATTTGTGAAATATGAATCAATGAGCATTAAGAAACAGTTATAATATGTCATTTATGCAATTAACAAACATTCCCATGGCATTAATGCACAAACCCTTAGTTAGCTTTCATTCAGGCATTTCATCAAACACTTTGGTGCATGAAATGCCTATGAACCCAGATTTCACTTTCCCAAGGAAATCTGGCATTAGGAGCAAATAACTAAGGAAATGAAATGAGAATCTAGACCCTAAACATCACAAATCAAACATCTAAGCACCCTAATCTACACACCTAGAAGTTTAAAAGATGACTACTCACTAATCATGAAAAACACATCTAATCTTTTGCAAGAGATGATGTTAATCATGATTAGAAGCAGAAATGAGATGATGAGATGATAAGAAACAGACTTAGATTGATTAAATCCTTCAGATATATCTTAACAAACTCGTTTTTTAACAAAAGGGGAAAGAAAATTAGAGAGAAACTAAGATAGAAGATAACATGTCTCTAGGGTTTTTCTCCAAAATGCTATATATACTTAGTGCTAATGAACCGGGTCAGCCCGGAACAAACCGGGTCCTGACCCGGATTTAGTGGGTAAAGTGGGAATCCTGCGGGTTGGTCCAGTGTCTCCCAGGTAGCATGCCCAAGTCGCAGTAGATGAAGAACTTGTCTTGTGAGACTTAAATCGCTTTGTTTTATCCGCACGCCCAAGTAGGAGTGTTTTGCAAGTCTTGCTGCGGCTTAATCTTCTTCTTCTTCAACTCGCAGGACCAAGGCCGTTTCTGGGGAATGTACAAACCGTGCCGGTTGGTCTCCATTACACTCAGGTCGCAGGCTCAAGTCGGAGTAGATTGCGAGTGATCATGCGGCTTGGTTCCAGCGTCTCCCAGGTAGCATGCCCAAGTCGCAGTATTGTGGACTTAGCAATTTTCTTGCTCGGGGGCCTCAGACCTCATCCATTGATAGCTTACCCGCACTTCTCAACTCGCAGCATCAATTTCCAGGCATTCGTCTTCAGGCCTGCGAGTTAACCAAGTCGCAAGGCTTTCTCGCAGCATTCAGAGCAGCTTGGACCACTTCGAATTCCGGAGAGTGTAACTTCTAAGATACTTGTCCGAATTGAGTGGTTACGGTTGAAGAAGACAGAGGACTCATATATATCCAACTTTGGTGAAGAAAGCTTTGGTGTTTGGGAAGTGGAAGGCTTCCTGGAGGGCTCATCTTTGCAGTGCATTTACACGATCAGAGAGAGGCGTCTAGACATGTATCCATTCCGGAGACGTTAACTTCTTGCTCATAGATCCGAATTGAATGATCTCGGAAGTTCTGGAACGAAGACTCAAATATCTCTGATTCTCATGAAGGCCTCGTAAACTGAATCGGCCTGGACGTGCGCCGTCCTTCGCATTCTTCGGAGCTCATCGGGTCGGTCCAAGACGGCAGCGAGACAGGTGTTTCTTCCGACGATCTCAACTTTCTGCTCACGCGTCAGATTTCCATTATTCCAATTTCTATGGAACCATGATCCAATATTCTACAACTTTTATGAAGCCCCCGACAACTAAATCGGACCGGAAGGTTCCCCGGACAGGCGATCATTCAGGAGTATCGGATTGCTCCGGAATGGATGCGAGAGAGGTCTGTCTTACGATTACCATATCTTTCAGCTCCGTGGTCTAAATGCTTTGATTCCAACCGTTCTGAACGCTTGACTCAATTATCTCAAACGTTTATGAAGACTCCGACAGCTGAATCAGACGGCAAGACCTTCCGGTAACGTGATTTTCGAGTTGTATCTGCACTCGAGATTTTTGGCCGAGAAACTTAACTGCGGCAAGTGTTTTTGGCCGAGAGTTCTACCCGCGGGAAGGATTTTGGCCGAGAACCTTCGACCTTCAGTACACCATTTTGCCGAGAAACCCAAAATTGCTCCTTTTCACCATTTTTGATCATTCCAACTCCATTTCTTCATCTGAATCACATCCTCCACTCCAAATTGGCTCCAAAAGCACCTGTTTAACACTCCAAACCATGCAAAACTCTCTTGGACCGAATGCAATCTCCTAAGTCCTAAAACAATGCCTAAAGACCTAAAATGCATGCAAATGAGACATGATTTGGACTAGAATATGTACATTAAATGATGCAGTTTATGAATATATCAACTCCTCCACACTTATCCTTTGCTTGTCTCAAGCAAAAAGGAACAAATGAGAGGAAAAGGTTGAATGCATTGGGAGCTCATTTTTCCTTTGAAAGAGAGAAGTGACCACTAAGAGAATTCAAGTTCATGCTCAATATGCAATGCAAGACCATACTCTGATGTATCAACTCAACAGTAATCTCCACAAGTTCTCTTATTCCTCAACTCTTTGACATTCATTAAGCTCTTTACCAAGTGGATCAAATGATGCAATGTTCAAACAAGCAAAGTTTGGCTAGGGTGAGGTACTGAGACTAAAATGGTCTCATCAGCGCCCTAGTGGGTTCAATGCAGCAAGGGGATCTCTCTATAAATGATCAAACTTTGGCAGAATGCTAAAGGTAAAAAGCAACCTATGCATACAAGGGCAAGGACTCATCCCACCCCACACTCTACTCAAAGCTTTCTGACTTGCTCAACCTCTCAAGAACCTCACTTTCCACACTTATTTTCCTCTCACTAGGGGACTCACTTATCATTTTCACACTCAAGTCTTGGAGTTCAAACTTTACATAGCTCCTTTTCACTTTCTTTTGTAACTTCTAGCCTCTTTTTCTTTCTTTTTAAAACATTTGAACTCTTGGCTTCTTTTCTTTTCTTTTCACTTAGAGGCTAGACTTTTTCTTTTCAAAACACTAGACCTCACTTTGTTTGACTCAAAACTCCAAGACTGATTTCTTTTCTTTTTCTATCCCCTAGTTCTCACCATTCTCCTTTTATTTCCACTCATCTCTCCTTTCCACTCACCAACAAGTATTCCCCCACACTTAGTTCTCACCAAATCTCTCAGCTCCTTGATGATGGAACTTAACACTCAATGAGACTTGTCCTTTTCGCTCTAAACCTAACACTTTCTGCTAAGTTTGATCCAAGGTGGCCTTTCAATTACACACAAACATTTGGCTTGAAAGAAGGATGGGTTCAGGGTGAGGAAAACTGATCCAGATGTGGACTCAGCTATTTGAGCTAAGGAAGAGGGTGGTAAAAACAGAATTCTAGCTCAAATATGTATATAGGTATCCACAAGCTTATTCAAACAATGCATCACAAGATAATTTCAAGTCAAGTTCAAGGTTTTCACTTATTAGAGTTGAGTTCAATTCAAACTTGCTTCTCAGATTCAAACCATTTCAAGCCTTGCAAGCACAGAAGTCATTTCACAAGCATATTTAATCTAAATTCTCAAAGTGATGTACTCTCAAGGAAAGAACCTATCATTACTCCCATTTTCATATGATGCAACTAGTCCTGTAAATTGGGCTGTCCACAACCATGTGGTCTTTGTCCAGTTGGACCTTTTCTAATCTTGGACAAAAAATAACCAAGTCCAAAAAGGACCAAGTCCAAAAAGGACCAAGCCCAACTGGACCATGTCCAATTGGACAAGACCATGGACAAAAAGAAATCTGATAATGAAATTCATAAGTAGAAGATTCAAAACTATATGAACGTTAATGTAAAGATGAATAATATGCATGATAATAAAAAGTAGAAAAAGAATCCAAAAGTAAAAAAAAAACTCCTCTTTGTTCACTTAACACAAAGAATCCAAAAGTAAAAAAAAACTCCTCTTTGTTCACTTAACACAAAGTAAAGATGAGCGTTAATGTAAACTGAATTCACTTAACACAATCATAAACAAACTCCTCTTTGTTCTCCTCTTCTGCCTTGTTTCCTTAAGATTCTTCTTGCTCCTCTTCGACCTCCTCTTTGTTCTCCTCTTCTTTCTCATCCTCTGAAAATATTTAAAACCATAACATGATGTAAGAGAAGAACTGTATTTGATATATCATCAAAAATCAGAATGATGAAGGAAGAAACTTACCTATTGGAAAGCCTTTTAACCAGTTTCTTGCACAAACCAAGGCTTGAACATTAGTTGGTAATAAAGAGCTTCTATACTTATTAAGTATTCTACTACCTATACTAAAAGAGGATTCTGAGGCAACTGTTGTTATTGGAATGCTCAAAACATCACACGCCATACAAGACAGCTCCTTAAAACGAGAAGAGTTGTCCCTCCAATATGTTAACACATTCATGTCTTTATGTGCAACCATATCCATAACGGGTTCATCCAAATACATATCAAGAGCAGACTTTCCACTACCACCAGCTTTTTGAGCAAAAAAAGCATAGAATCCCTGAGAATCAAACAAATTTGACACATTAGAAAGATCATCAAAAACCATTGCTCAAAAAGAGGTTTTTGAGACGCTTAAAAGGAACCTGATACAAACTGAGATTCACAAGAACAAAATTACCCAGATGGAAAAAGTTCCTCACAGCACCAAAACAGGAATTGAGAAATAAGAAAGAAAGGAGCTTACAGCAAAACCTAGATGACACATCATAACCGGCAGAAACATAAGACTCGTCATCAGAAGTCACTAGAAACATTCGACACATTAAAAACACAGCAGTTTCAGTAAGAAACTTACACTATAACCGGCAGGAATATCTTCTGGCAAAGTTTGTGAAGTGGCTGCAGCAACATTGTTTCTTTGGTTTTTTTGATAAGCTTTGAATAGCTTATACATCTTAGATCTTACATGTTGCAATCTGTTCTTACTGGTGATTGGATCCAAAGTAGTGTAACAGTATTCCAACACTGCAAATTTCATTCTTGGATCAGGGAACTGCGGCAATTGCTATTAGGGCACTGGGCTCTTCCCAATATTTGT